AAACAAACATAATAATGGTAAAACTTAGTTTATCATAATAGCCAGGAACAAAAGGAGGATACCATATCATTATCATTATTATTATTATTATTATTATTATTATTAATGTCATTGGGAGTCCTAGACAATAAAAACATGAGAAAAAAAGAAAGGACAGCAAGCTTATTTGAAAAAATCTACATAAACATCTCAGAAGAATGTGAACATACAAAAAAGATTGTATATAATTAAAAAGATTTCTGGATGAATAACACAGAAAATTAGTGATACAAATTTCAGAGTTCACAAAGATAGATAATTAGTATCAGTAAGACTAAAGAAGGAAACTTGAAATTCAAGGAATAATAGAGAGAAACAAGCAATTGAGCTGAACCATTAGAGATATGAAAAGTTGTTTTGAACTGGTATGGATATTGCTGGAAAGAAAATGAGTGCTTATATAATTGGAGAAAGAGCCAGTGTGTCTCTGAAAAAAAATTTGGAAAAAGTAGTTTTAGTTAAATTGTCTTAATTGCTGATAAGTAGTATATTATATTACTTGCTGATAACCACCACAACAAAATAACACAGAACAAAATAATCAGCAAAGACATAGAAGATAAAGATTTGAACAATATAATTTTCACCTGACCAAGTGGACAGAGAATGCTATATTCAATCATTAGAATATATACATTCCTCCCAAGTGCACAAGTATAACTTCTAAAAATTGATCATTTTTCATAGAGTATGACTGAACAAATTGCAAAAAGTAGATAATTTACATGTGTAGATTCTCTGACATCAAGACACAAATTAGAAAATTGTAACAAAAACATATATCAAGCTTTCATATGTTTGGAAATAAAAACAAACAATTCTAAGTCATCTATACACCCAAAAAGAAATACCAATAGAATTTTCAAAATACTTGGAAATAAATTATTTTAAAAACACTACATGTAAAATCTTACGATGTCCAACAAAATGGCATTTCAGAGGAAATGTCAGATAAACATTTATCTAACATCAAAGACAAGCTAAATTTAATTAGCTAGTGTAAGAGTAAAATAACAGCAAAATATAGCCCAAAAAGAGTAAACCGAAAGAAAACTTTTAAAAGCAAATAACAATGCTAAATAAGAAAAAAGAAAATTAAAGGACAACAAAGCCAATATGTTCAAAGTAATTAGTCTTCAGGAAAATTCAATTTAAAATTATAATGAAATTCTACTTCTCACTTCCTTAAATGTTAAACTTTAAAAAAATAACTAACAATACCAAGTTTTGTGTGATGTAGAACAATAGACCTCTCATAGATTGCTTATGGAAATGGAAAAACAAAACTATAACTATTTAGGCAATCTATTTGCACTTTTGAAAGTCAATTGTATACCTACTCCATGATCCAGTAATTTTATTCCAAAAGAAATCAAAACACTATCACAAAAAGATTTCAACAATATTGTTTATAGAAGAGTTATTTGTAGTATCTTCAAAGTGGAAACAACCCAAATGGTCATCAGTAAGTGAATGAATAAGCAATGAGTGATGTGTTTAAATAATAGGATTCCTTTCATTTATAAGAACAAACTACCACTACATGAATCAATACTCTTGAATCTCAAAAATATTACATTGAGTAAAAGAGGGCAACTATATCGCTCATGCTTCCATCTAAATCTTCCTTTCATGGTCTTCGCCTAACTTAGGCTTCGTCTTATTTCAGGTTGTTCACAGGAGGATCAAATCACTAGAGAGGCACTATTTGTCACTAAATACTATTGCTCAACATCTTGAAGTAGCTCTGTTAATCAAGTCCCCTTTTTATCCCTTCTGCCATTCTCCTAGATCAGGATGCTATTATGTTTGCCCTCAATTAGTGCAATAACTTCTGGTCTTCAAGCCTGTTTCTTACCTCTCTTCCTCTAGTCCCATCTTTCATGTGACTGCAAGTCATTTATGTTTCCCAAAAAATAAATGTCCTGATTGTTTTACTCTTAATCCTACTCCACCATCTTGTTTCAAACCCTTTAGTACATCTTTGCTGCCAAGAAAATAGAATTCAAACTCAGAGTGGAGGCTATCCAGATTGCTGGAGCATAAACTTTGAATATATAGTTTATATTTACATAGTATATTATATTACAACAGCTAATTATTTTGTCTTAACTAAACTATATGTATCAGTTATAATTCTTCATTATAAACCTTCTGTACAAAATAAGTTGGAAATTGAATTAACCCACCCATGTTGGGGGTTTACAAGGTTTGATCAAAAGCTATAGTGAATATTTAAATTTTTAAAATTATTATAGTAAAAGACACATTGCCACTGATCCCCTTGAAAATACTCCAACTTGCTTCAAACACATGTATCTCATTGTTCTTGCCATATTTTGAAACAGTTCTGGAAGTCCTCTTTCTTGAGTGTCATTATGAGGTGTGACCCAAAACAGTGCATGTTGCTGCTGAGTGCCATCCAATGGAAAGGAAAGTTTGTGATGGGAGTCCTCACGCACCTTATTCACTGGATGTGGCACCGTGCAACTTCTGGCTCTTCCTCAAAGTCAAAATGACCGTGAAAGGTAAACATTTTTAATGGATTCAGGATATCAAGGCAGCCACCACTGCACAACTAAGACACTTATGAACACCAGGTATGGTAACACACACCTGTAATCTCAGCACTCTAGGAGGTTGAGCCAGGTAGACCACAAGTTCAAACCCAGCCTGGGCAACTTAGAGACACCTTGACTCAAAATAAAAGAGCTGGTGGTATAGCTCAGTGCAAAGGCCCTGGGTGTAATCCCTAGTACCAAAAAAAAAGGGGTGAGGGGTAAGGGGACCCCTCATAAAAAAGACTTCTAGAACTGCTCAGATAGTAGTAAGAGTAATGGGAAAAGTATATTTGAAGCCAGAGGAAGCATTCTGAGGTGGATTAAGACACGGTATCTTTTACTGTAATAAATTTTATTTAAACGTATTTTTCGATTGCAACTCATACACTTATATTGAAAACAACTTCAAGCTGCAATACTGGTACAAACAGAAAAGTGAAATAATATAAAACCATATTCCTTTCGGAAATAGTTAAAAGTTGTTTTTTTGTTTTTGGTACCGGGGATTGAACTCAGGACCTTGCGCTTGCAAGGCAGGTGGTGGCACCACTGAGCTAAATCCCTGGCCCCTAGTTAAAAGTTTTAAAATGTTTAATTTATAAAAGAGAAGTAATAATTTTGTCTTTAACATTTAAGTCTTTAATTTATCCAAAAGTGAGCAAAATATATAGAGAGCAGAAGAGTAAATTTCTATTTTTATATGGATAACTAGACACACAGGTAATAGAGAAATAAAAGCTCTCTTCCTTTCTTCCCTCTGTTGTAATAGTAGTCCCAGCTTCCTCAGAAGAAATGGGTAGGAACTGCGCCTTGGAAGACTAGACCCAATGTCACATCACAGACTACCAAATCCTCTCCTGACCTCACTGTGTGCCCAGAAGAGGTATGCCAAGCCAGAAGGGATGTAAGATATGACAACGACTCAGTGATGCGAGGTACTCTTCAATAATTTCTTGATGCACAAGCACTCGAGACCTTTGTATAATCCTGTGGCTAGAGCATGCTTAATGAAAACAGAAATTGCATATCCAACAGAAGCTTGGAGTATTAACTGTCACTTTGAAGAAGGTACCTGTATTAGTCACTCTCCCATATCTGGGACGAAATATTTAATGCTCAAAACTTAAATGAGGAGTTTATTTTGGCTCTCGTTTCAAAAGCTTCCACGTTTGTCTGGCTAAAAGGCAGAAACGGCATGGTAGAAGCCCGTGGCTGAGGAAATGGGCTCAACTTATGGCCTCCAGGAAGCAGAGAGAGAAGGGAGGCACCTTTCAGGCCAGGCCCCCGGTCACCTACCTTCTGTTGGATCCACAGCCTAACAGCTTCTTCAGCCACAAGGTCATCAATGAAACAACTACTGGTGAGTATAGCGCCCCCAGGATCCAATCACCTTCCAAACCCATGAGATCTCCGGGGAACATTTTAGATCCAACCATGACAGTACAGAAATATTATTTCTTGTACACATTAAGTTCATCAACTATGATTTATAACTACTGCATGCATTATAACTTTACAGTACCAAAAAAATAACTGCCAATTTTTCCAGAAATAATAACCATAAATATAATCCTTAATATAAAATAGCAATATTCAAAATGCTGGAAGCTGAAATGTTTAAAGTGTTTACAGATGATTTTAAATGCCTTGGACAATGAGGAAAATGAATTTTAAAACATCATTAAAGTTTAAGTAGGAACTATTTCCATTCATCTCCTATCAATCACTTATTTACTCATTTATTCAGGAAAGATGCAGTGAACTGATCCTAACACAATAAAGCCTTATTCTGAGATACTTAGTTAAATACCTTGAATCTCTTTTATTCACCATAGGAAGCCATTTGGCTTTAATGCAAACTGCTAACATGATAAATGCCTTGTGAAGGAATCAAAAAAGTGGATGTAATTGCCCATGAATTCTTATATGGGGTTTATGTTGTGTGCCAGCACTTTATTTGCAACTTCAATATATGATATCAAGAAAAGAAACCACACACACACACAGAAACCAAAAATAAAAGATTATTTGCAATCGTTATATATTTAGTAGTACCAAAATATCTACATTATTCATTTTAAGTGGTTCTCATTTAAGAAATTCAATTTGGTTGATAAAAGTGTTCATGTTTGAGACTCCTATATTTGAAAGAAAGATAATTAAAATATGGTGGATTCTTTTAAGAAATTATAATCTAGAGAAAAAGGATTGGCCTGTACAGCAAATACATCACATTTGAATATGAATTCCATAATACAACAGTAAGTGATTTTAAGGGGAAAACTACACAAGAAAAAATTTGATCATTATCACAAGGTATGTGACAAGAACTAAAAGAGTAGTCAATGTAAATTTCTATGACACATTTTACACCTTTCTTTTTTTTTTTTTTACAATTTTATATAATCTTATTTGTACTTTAAAATTTAAACAACTTGCTGGGAACATCCTTAGTTAGGCAACGTAGTCGTTTTTATTTGAAACTAAACTTTGAGACAGGCTCACTATATTTTTCAAGAACAAGCAACAAATGTTAGCTGAAAATAGCCAACTTAACGATTATTTGTAACACAGACTTGATTATGTGAGCCTACAGAGCCTCCCCACCTCTGGCTTCCCTGTGGAGGAGGGAGTCTTTGTGTGCTTTTCTGTGTTGGTTTCCACTGAATTCATTACAACAGAGATGGACATTTGATATTCATAACGATCCAACATCTGAGCAATCTTCCTTCTAGACACACCATGTTTATTCCTGTTTTCTAATTCTTCAGGATCAAATTTCCACCAAGTTTCAGGTTCATGAAACTCTACTCTGTATCCTTTTCCTAGTGCCATTTCCACATACGGTTTCATTTCCCAAGCTTGTGTATTAGTGTTGTCTATTATAACTGGAGACCTCCCCTGATCAACAGCTTGTTTTGCTCTGCTCTGGTTCCAGTCATGAGCATCACCAAGCTGATTAACATTATACCTGTACCCATCTTGATGGTGAAAATAGTCATCAGTGCTGAACACAATGCCATCACAACTCTGACCAAGCAGAATTCTAGACAATGTTGTTTTCCCAGAACCAGGCAGACCTCTTAAGAGAACAAGTAATTTCTGCAATTTATTTAACTTTTCTTTTTGAAACTGCTGGTTCACAAACCTGTCCATTCCATTATGCTTGTCCATAGGAGGCTCTTTCCAGCTTCTTTCTCTGATTTCACATAAACCGTTACTCACATATCCATCTTGCACACTATAGCCATTTCTAGGGGGATGAAGACTACTGCTATTCTCACCACAGTCAGTATGTTCATTATTCTGATCAAAAGTCAAACAATTCCAGTAAACATGACAACTATTTACATCATACCCATTTTGAATCTGATAGTCATCTTGAGCATGGAAAATACTTGGTGATGGATTTGGTGGAGCACTAAATCTTTGAATATTTAAATGATAGTTAAAACTGGGAAGAGGAGGACCATGGGGCACTATGAAAGGATGCACTGATTCCCATTCAGGCCTGAAGGAAGTAAATGAAGTATCACAAAATGTAGGTATCACTTGTCCATCATAGGTATATTTGCCTGGCTCATTGCCCAAGTACTGTTGATAACCACAATGTGACTGAAGAGCACTATTAAGATCTTTAGTTGCTTCATCAGATCTTAAGACATCATTATTATAGCCCTCATAATACAGAAGAAGTTGTTCCTGAGATGGTTCAGATTCCTTACAACTGACTTCTGAATTATCTTTTTCATTTTCGAGTTCTTCAATTTCTTTGTAAAACTGTGATAATTCAGTGTCAATCTCTAATTTTTTGGTGTAAAATTTCCATTTCTTTTCTTGTCTTCCTTTGCCATTTGTATCATCGTGAGTGTCTGTCTCATTCCTTCTTTCATTACATTTCTTTTTCTCTGGGGGTTTGTAAATGGGTCCTATAAATGCTTTACTTGTACTATATATTTCATCATCTGTTGATACTAATGGAGATTTTCCATGCTGTAAAATTTGTGAACCAATAGATTCAATAACATCTAGTCTATTACAAGGCATCTCATTACGCAAAGGTTTCTGCAAATCTGTAGTTTGGGTTTTGTTCTCCTGAAGAAAATCAGCACTGCTACGATGTGGGAAAATATAAGCTTTTGTGGCTGACTTCAATTTTTTATAGCATGGTTCATTTGTTAGTTCTTTTCCAGGTCCCAAGAACTTAGCTTCAATTTCACCATAAGGCATCTTCTTCTACAGGCTCTGCATGGACCTTTACCTCACCCCAAAAAAGAAATTCTCCTACAAGACATGAAACTCCATCAAAATGAAAAAAACACTCATATACCATCACAAAGCAGAGAGGGAGGAACCAAAATCCCAGGCGTCAGACTCAGAGGCAATAGCTGCACCTCCGTATGCAAGATGGCTACACCTTTCTTTTAAGTTGCCTATTTTGGCCCTAAGTTCAAAGACTTTGAATAACTTTATCTAATAAACAAAGTACTTAAAATGTAAAAGTAATAAACAAAAAAAGAGGAAGTAATCAAAGAAATAATGAAGGAAGCATTCCCTGAACTAAAGACAAAAATTTTTGGATTGAAATGACCAAGAAAAACAAGCAACCCTACCTAGGAAGAGTAATGGAAGTGACCAATGAATGTATGAAATAACTTTAAAAAAATACTTTCTCAGTAAGGGGAAATGGTTGATTTGTGGCCCTCTAAACAAAATAGAAATAACCAATAAAGAGAACACTGGATGTGAGTGTGAATATTCAGAAGTTTGGTCATAGAAATTTAAGAAGCTTTATGGTATAAACTATCTGAATATGTTTGTGAAAAAAAATTCTGCTCACAAGTATCTTGACAAATCTTCTAAGGTGTTATTTGATGCAAACCTTAGTCCTAAACCTGATGAAATAGCTATGTTCTGGTGCCATATTGTAGAACATTAACTCTGACTGGGAAAGGAAGCCCACAAGTTTTGACATTAAGCCCTAGTTAGCTGTGCTCAGGGTACCAATGGTGCAGAATAAATGTGGCAGTAAGTAGGATAAGCCAGTAGCCATGGTGTATGGAAGATTTACATAACATGTCTATTTATTACTAACCAAAAAAGTAGTATAGTTAACCATAGAAATACTTCCTTATTAGTTCAATGATTACTTCATGCCAGGCGCAAAAATTCACACAGGCAACCTAGATTAGAAGAAAACTGTAAAATTTATTTTTTTGCAGACAACTTCTCTCTATAGCCTCTCCCAGAATTCTTATAAAAAGCAATGTTTTCAGTATTATCCTCCTACTTCACATACACACACTCGGTGTAACATCAGTGACAAAGATATATGGCCATAAATCTCATGTTCTATAAATAGAAGTATAAATTTAAGTTTACTTATTGGTACATTTTAGGTAAACAATATAGTTATCATCAGTGGGATCTTCTTTACATGATGTATCTTGGTTCTTATTTTTCCCCCATTTCCTGGCCCTCCCTTCACCCCCTCCACCCTTCCCTATTTACAAATAATTTGTTTTCATTTTTTTCCTTTTCTCATATTTTTTCTTTTCCCTTGTTTCCTTTGCCCTATCCCTCCCATTTCCCCTATTCCTTTAGACCTTTTCTTCCTATTTCACAATACCAATTATACATTTTGATCCTTATTTACACTTTTAGTTTTTCACACCAGAGAAACTATTTGGTATTTACTCATGTGTGTCCTATTTATTTCACTTAAGAGTATGGCCTCAATGCACATCCACTTAGCTATAAATGTCTCTAGTTTCTTGGTCTTTATGGCTGAGTAGTACTCCATTTTATTTAAAAAAAAAAACAAAAAAAAACAAAAAAAAAACACATCTTCTTTATCCAGACTCCAGTTGATGGGCAATTGGGCTGTTTCCAAGTTTTAGCTATTACAAACTGCACAGCTACAAACATGGGTGAGCATATATCACTGTGGTATGATTCTTTTAATTCTTTGGGGAAGATACCCAGCAGAGGAATAGGTGGGTCAAATGTGACTTCCAATTCCTGTTGTTTGAGGTATCTCCACATTGCTTTCCACAGTGGTTGCACCAGTCTGCAATCCCACCAACAATGAAGAAGGGTTCCTTTCTCCCCACACCCCATCAGCACTTGTTATTGTTGAAAAACTAAAAGTGTAAATAAGGATCACTGATGTTTTTAAATGAATGAATGGATGAAATCTTTGATAAGTTTTTGTGCTATTAATTCATATATATAATTTATATATATTTAATATATTTATATATAATATATAGTATATATAGTATATATATTAATATATATTTCTTTACTCAAGCCAAAAGCTTATCAGCTAATAATCTGGACTGCAGAATTTATATATAAAGATATATATGTGTGCAAATTTCTTTTTTATTAGTACTTCCTATTTGATGAGATGTTATATTCATATCTTCTTTTGTCCCTTTAAACATGATTTCCTTTCATTTTCTAAATATTTATAATGGGTACTTCAAAGACTTTATGTGTTAAATCTGATACCTGGTCCAGGTCACAGGAAGCGTTTTCTTCTCCTGCTTATGAGTCATGCTTTCCTTATTCTTTGTATGTCTTACAATTTTTTGGTTGAAAACTGGTTATCTGAGGCAGTATGTTGTAGCAATTCTAGATAGAGATTATTTTCCTCCATCTCTGGAGCTTGTTTTTGTTGCTCACTTGTTTTTTTGACTTGACTAGGCAACTCTATTTCCCTACAGTGTGAAGCCCTTGATAGTACTCTTCAGAGACTGCAGCCTTGGGCACACAGTTATCCTGAGAGGAAAATGGATTTGGCAAGACTGTCTTTGTCTTTCCTTATTCTCTCTGTTAAAATATTGCCCCATTTTGTATTCATCCCATTAGTCTCTGCTAATTATGACCTGATCACTCTATTGCTTTTAAGAATGCCATGCAGCAAACATTTTTGATATGATTAAATTCAGGTGGAGGTAGTTTTGAAGTTAATTTTTAAGATCTACTCTGATTCCAGAAGAGCTGATACTAGATGGTTCATGGTTTAGTTTGCTGTTCTTAATTAAGAGGAGCTATTATTTTCAGGAGAAACCATTAAGCTTGACCATTCTGAACAAACTAAAGTTAGTTCTTCTGGGGAAGAGTTTCACAACAGTCTTCTTTCTTTCCCCCCAAAGACATTGCTTTACAAGCTTATCAGAGCAGTAATTTCTGATTTTCCTGGCATGCCTCTCTTGCTATGAAACCTCTGTGCTATCATGAGCTGGAGAAAGGGAAATTGGGACAACAGTAATCTTCACTGGTTGAACAGAGTGCACAGCCTCTTTCCTGTAGATGTGGACTGGGAAAGAAAGAGAACCTCCAATTTTTTAAGCACACTGCCAAGAATTTAGCCTCTCCTACATGGAGTTAGAAGGGATTATAAAGTCTGGCAGACTGCCCTACCTGGCAAAATACAAAATGCTTCATTGAGAGCCCTAGGAAAGAGGAAGCCCTATCTTCTTAGTCACACTGGCACACAGTGGTGATTAAGTAAAGCTGAGAGAAGATATATAATGGGTCATGATGCCTGTGGAACTCTTGGTGAGAGTTAATTAAGTTATTTTGGTGCCAGTCCTTACAGATTATTATTTTTCACTTTGCTACATTCATTTTCATCCAAATTAAAAATTGGCCCAACTTCACATATAGGACAGCTTGCTTTCAATTGAATTTATTTTTTCCAAAGTGGTTCAGATAAAATCATTTTTTGGACAAGTGCTTTTTGTGCTGTTTTATACTTCCTATTAGTATACCACTCTACATTAACACATGCTCAATTAATGAGGCATTGCCATTTATAAAAGTCTTTAAGATGAATTATGAAAATAAAAGGAGAAATTAAATTTAAATTGGCATAAAATAAGCAAGAAAGTAGAGATAGAGTGAGAAAAAATTATGTTATAAATCATACTTATTCACTTGACAAGTGTGTACAATTTTACCTTAAAATAATGCTCAAAGCCACAATTTACCATGTCTATAAGCTTAAAAACAAATGAACTGGGCCCAGGGATTTAGCTCAGTGGTTCTGCCGCCTGCCTTGCAAGCACAAGGACCCGAGTTCGAGCCCCAGTACCAAAATATATATATATATATATATATGAATTGCAGGAGAATAAGTTATTCCTGGTAAAGTTACAAGACTTTTCTCCCAAAGTCACTATTAAAAGATATACTATAATGTAATAAATAACCTCCTCAAAGTAAAAATAATAAAAAGTTTCATGAGACAGTATCTTACGGTCAATATATGAAATTACAACAAAACAATAATAAATTTTGTTCAACATCAATAAAATGTCATTCTGACATTCAGTTCTCTAATAATCTGGCTACTATAGAAATAAAATTTTTTTGTGCCTTAACAAGTGGTTCTAACACCAAGTATAATTCCACCTGCTAAGTGACATCTGGAAATTCACAGAGATTTTTCTGTTTCTCATAACATGAAGGACAATCCGTGTCCAGAGTCATTAAATGTATTCTCCCTATGCTGGAAGAGTACTACATGAGGAAAATTATTTCTCTCAAGATGACAATAGCACAAGCTCTCCCACCTTGAGAAATTTTAATTTCAGACCATGTTCATTCTACAGAGATGATTCATAGGCTAGCAGTACTGTGAGTGGGTGTAGTGTGTGTGTGTGTGTGTGTGTGTGGGTGTGGGTGTGTTGATGTATGTCTACATGCATTAGTGTCTTGAAAGTCAGGAGTGTGGGGCTTGTTTCCCAAGCCTGTTTCACCAGAGATGCTTCATTTGTATCTATTTTACATGCTGGAGCTCTCTGAATAGGAAACAGTTTAAAACAAGATGAGAAAGATAATTTTATTCATCAAAATTCCAAGGTAGCCTAGGAATAGGGAGCTATGACAGAGCTGACATTTTCTGCCAAGGGTACAGAGTCTGTGATAGATTGTACAAGTTTGGGGTGGAGTGAGTTGAGATAGGGTGGACATGGAAATAGGAGGAGAGAAGGAGATGTGACAGAAGTAAGTCCTCATAAGGTAAAATTCTCTCGTGACTCCCTTTGAAAACAATAGTTAAATTTATTTTAATTATTGGATGTTGTATTAGTTATTTAACATGTATAACAAATCATTCAAAAACTTACTACCTTAAAACAATAATAATTTGTCATTCTCATGGTTTCTTTGGATTAGGAATGTCTTGGCAGCTTGGCTGAACAGGCTTTCTCATGAAGTTGCCATCAAATAGCAGCCGTAGCTTTAGTCAAATGCTACCTGGGGGTTTCAGTCATCTAAGATTTGAATGAGGTTTTAAAGGTCCACTTCCAAAGTGGTTCATTCACATGGCTGGTGAGATGATGCTGGATGATGACAAAGGACCTTGGCTCCTCTTCCTGAGTTCTCAGTACTACTTCAGTGCTTCACTAACTAGATGTGAGCTTCTCAGGGAGGACAATCCAAGAAACCAAAATGAAAACTTTTATTCCCAGCCTTGTAAATCCTATGGCATTATTTACTGCAACCATATTTTATTGGTGAAATAGACTGTCCATGATTCAATTTTATAGGTATTACAAAAGGGTGTGAATATCAAGAGGCGAAGATCACTGGGAGTCATCCTGGAGGGTGGTTACCACAGCAAAGTGATTTTTAAAAATATATTTGTTTATTTACCTGTTTGTATATTTGTGGCACATATAATGCAGAAGGAGGATAAGACACTTAGTTAATTCTTTTTATACATGGTTGAATTCACTTTGCTTATATTTTGTTTTAAGATGTTTGGACCTATGTCACGATCGAGATGATGGTCTGCAGTTTCCTTTTCTATAATGTTTTTATCTAATTTTGATAATAGGATAATGCCAGCCTCACATAATGAATTAGAAAGTATTTTTTCTACTTTCATCTTCTTAAAAAATTGTAGAAAACTTCTACAATTTCTTCTTTAAATTTTGGTAAAATTCCTCACTGAACCTTTCTGGGCCTAGTGTTTTCTGTCTTGGAAGGTTATTAATTATTGATTCAATTTCTTTAATAGATACAGACCTATTCAGATTGTCAAATTCTTCTTGTGTGAGTTTTGGCAATGTTTGTTTTTAAAGTGTTAGACCAACTGGAAATACAGCTCAACCATAAATCCTTACTACTTCTTCACTAGTACTTTGATCACAAACTGTTCGTGTTTTGGAGCCTGCTGGGGCTATCATTATCACCCTGGGATATCACTAGGTTCAAATTAGACACTAAAGGTGTAGGTATTTTAAAATTTCAAAATTTGTATAAAATGTGAATTATTAGTAAACTGTTACTTATGTTTAAACAGGTTTCCCAATCTATATTATCATCTATACCCCTTGTAACAGATATTGGTAGCTTTGTGTCCAATATTCACTTTTCCTCTGCTTCATTAAACAATACTAATTTTATTTGGGAAGGCAATGTCCTTGCCCAAAAGCAACATCATTTTGGAAACTTGAAGTTCTCACTAAAGTCTAGCAGGGAATTTTGGTAAAGTTTCCTATTCTTGTAAAAGCACAGAACATTCTTCTTTGTCCCTTCCTATTTCTCCCACTTCCCCGGATGACAGGCATAAGAATGATATAAAGTTCTCATCTTGCCATCTAGAGATGAACAGGAAGGTAAAAACCACAAGCAAACACAATGGTATTCAAAGACAAATGGCACTCAGAGCAACCACACAAACTCTGAGGTTCCTACTTTTTTACTTATTTGAGAAAATAAATCCTTGTTTAGTTAAACTATTAGACTTCAGTTTCAATTACATTCAAATACAATCTTAGGATGTCGTTTATCTTCCTGGAAATCTTCTTTAGTCCTATTTCTTCAGGAACTCTTCTAGAATTAGTAATTAAAAGTTTGCATGGGATTTGTAGTCTATGAGGTGCTTTCACATAGATTTTATCTTGATATTCACATCAGCCCTGTGGCCAGAGTACCTTTATGGTCACACTCTCACCTACCAGGACTTGACAGTACCTATTCCCATGCTGTTGACTACACTGTCATCTTCAAATATATGCTTTCCATAACTGCCCCAAACAATCAGTAAATAAATCCTAGCTGTTCTACATCAGAAATCTAATATCACTTAATAGCTACTTCCTGAATTTAGGTTATCACTTTTCTGGTAGGCCACTATTAAAATCATTTAATTGACCTTCTGCAGAAAGACATTCTAAAAGAAAAAATCAATGATTTTTCAAATTTATCCATTCACCAGTTATAAGACATCTGCTACAAAGTAGATATAATAATGTTTAAATGATGGCTCCAACAAAATCTTGCCATTTTACAGTAAAAAGCCGATAGTGCTAACAATAAATATAGATTTATCAAGTGATTTAGTGTATTACTGTTGAAGATGTAATTCAAAGTAATAAAAATAATTTACTAATGTGATATAGTTGCTTCGAAAACATTTTTTCTTTTGGCATTGTATTGAATCAATAAGAAATGTTTCAAAAAAAACTAATTCATTTGATTTTTATGGAAATGTAAGCAAAAATAAAGAAAATAGGTTTTAGAACAGTAATTCCCAAAATGTATACTGTGGAATACAGCCTCTTGAGAAGAAATTACTCTTTAAAAAACATGTTTCTAAAAACACTAAACTGGGGACACTTTGTGTTGAACAAAGTGACACAGGTCAGTTTGGAATACTTAAGACTTGGTGGTATGTCCATGTGCACTGGGAATCCCCTTCAACAGCAGCATGATGGGTAGATTCACCAAACTTACTGGCCAGAGAAAGTAGACAAATTTCTTACTGCTATGTATGGGGGCCATTTACTTCCCTCTGAACTCTCTTGTCCTGGCCCATCCCTAATTCAGAAGCTTGCTTGCCTTGTTGGTCAGAAACTTTCGAAACACCATCTCCTAGAATCATATGTGTGATACATTTACAAAATGTTAATTAACTGAGAGTGCCAAACTATTTATTAAGGACTTGCTGTAACCAAATACTACACTGGGAGCTCTGGATGGAGAGTAAAGTCCAAGAGAGAAACTCTCAGCAAATCAGTCCTGACAACAAGTGATTCTGAAAAGGAGTCTGATGTTCAGTATGAATGTGTATTATTGATAAAGGTCATAATGGTTCGTGCAGAATAGTTTTTAATGGAATAAAAATCTGATCTCACCTTGATCCTTAAGATTTATGTAGAACATCAAAACAAAGGATAGTAAAGGGATATATTCTAGCTCATGAAGGGGCTGTAACAAGCCTACTAGGAGTTTGGCAGTTCATGGGTAACCTGGTAGAGACCTATAACTTTAAGAAAAAAAGGTTTTAATATTAACTCAGTGCATTCTTAATGTTCCAATTAAAACAAATTTTGGAATGTGTATTCTAAAGGACAATTTCTGAAAACTAGATAATATTAAAATTATATAAAGTAAAAGGTAACATACATTAGGGAAAATAATATTTAGACTATAACCCTAAGGAACAAAAGGCAATTTGACTGAACACTAAAAGTTAGAATCCATTTAGACACGCAGATAAAGTAAATAAGAGACTCCTATCTTCTAGAAAATTTACCTAATTGATTACCTGGCCCTTCTCTTATATTAATTACTTTGAAAACCCCTTTTATTTCATTATCCCCACCCCCACATACTGGACTCCATTTTTGAACTTTCTCTTCCGAAGTCCAAAAAAGTGAGTGCACAAAAAGTGCATTTTTCCCAGCTACAGAAGGACATGAAAACTGACCAGCAAGACAAGCAAGCTTCTGAATTAGGGGTGGCCCAGGACAAGGGAATTCAGCGGAAAGTAAATAGCCCCCATACATAGCATTAAGAAAATCCCCCACTTCCTTGAGTCACCTCGGCAAACAGCTTCCTGTATCCGGTGATCTGGTTGGTGGCTGTTCCATGCTAGAGCACCTAAGCAGGAGGCCACCAGGGCGGTGAACCTGCCTGGGGCCACGCAAATCGCAAGTTCTTCTAATACCCAGACCTCTGGAGCCCTGAGAAAGGAGGGCCAGTGCTCCCAAGTGTGGGTCTTTCTGCTCTGGGATGGTGGATGTGGCAACCACCTGAGCGCACAAGTCATCAGAAGTGGGTCCTGGTAGCTACTTACCCCTGCTGGGGCGCCGAGAAGCCTCGCCGGTTACTAAGGACGAGGTGGGAGTCGCTCTTTGGAGCCCAGCTAGCGCCCTTGGGTCTAGGGACCAGGGTTTAGCCAATCGGGACAGAAGTGAAATTCCACGGCCCTTCCCACTTCCACGTTTGGGTGCAGTTTGGAAAGTGTGTGTGTGAAAGACCTTTATGGGCTTTGAATGCAATCACAAATCACATAGTAACGATTTGTTTCAAATACGCTGCATACTTTATATATCCTGCCCGCAGCCGCAGCGAGAAGTGACTTGGCAGTGTATTAGCATATCCTTGACGTCCTAACGCCGGCCCCTCAACAAAAAAATTAAACAATAAAATTAGGATGCTTTCCATACAAAAGCAGCTATGTCTGTGAATCAAACTGCTGTTGATTAAGTGCTTTTTATATAGAAACTCTGGAGCTGACATTGTCCTCCGCACGCCACAAGGGGTAAACAAAGCCGCCTCGAGTTCTCTGCTACCTACCGACCACACGGGGGCGAATTTAAAGGCAGGAGAACGCCTTAAAAAGCACCATCTGAAAGTGTAAGTAAAATCTTTACAAAATACCCATGCTTACTGATGGCACAGCAACTTGATGTATTTCACAAATGTTCACACTTGCTTTTCTATATGGAAGAGTGGGCAGGAATATTTCTGATTAGATTCAAAGACAATGCACAGAGATTGTCCTACCAAGTAGCCTTAAAAATAACTTCAGAAGAACTGAACTGATCTGAACTAGAAACATACCAGCCCTGAGTTTCTGTGTTCATAATAAGCACGAGATAAGTCTTTTTGAGTACGCTGTGATGTTAAAATGAAGCATATCTGAAAGTCATCCTTCCTAATAGGTTAGTAAATTATTGAGGGGAACAACAAATACAAAACAGAGGAAGAGTATAAAAGACATATTGTATCTCAGAGAGCTCCAGAGACAAAAAAACAATAAATGAGTTGTAAGAATTAGCAGTGGGGGGCCGGGGATTTAGCTCAGTGGTTTCGTCGCCTGCTGCGCAACGGAAGGACCCGAGTTTAATACCCAGTACCAAAAAAAAAAAAAAAAAAAAAATTAGCAGTGATAGAAGAAAAGTAATTTGTAAAAAGATCTAAGGCATAAATAAAGAGTAATAGTATTCACTGTATTCCAATTAAAATGAATGTGAGAAAACTGGGTTACTTAAAAATCGTTTGATGGATTCTTTGTGTTAATTTCAAGAGATCAGAGGAAAATGTTAAAAGCTTAAAACATACAAACGTTAGCTACGTTATTCCCAAAGAATGAAAAGACGGTGGGGTGAATAATTCTACCTTAGCATATAAAACTTGGTTGAATCTATAGAGCATTTAGAGAACAAAGTAACTGCAAACGAATTGTACAAAGAAGTCAACAGTATATTCTTTTATATGGAAGAGTTCACAAGTTCTTCTCCCAGGTTTGTTTCACATCAAACTATTCAGAAATCACTCAGAATAAATTTCCCAAAGAGTAGATCACTTAAAATTAATCAAAATAAAGAGCTCAAATATGTAGAAATTATTACTGGAAAGAACTGGTTTTGAGCCACGAAACTAGGTACACCTAAATAGTTAATTTTCCCATTGCAAAAGCAAAACGGGAAAAAATTGAAAGAAATGCTATGTTTACAGCTTTAATAATCTAGGTTAAAATAATGAAGTGTGAGAAAAAAATGAAGATATTTCCTTAACTTTCAAAAAGGAGAGTAAAATAAAGGAGTTCATTTATTGTGGAGTGGGGTGAGAGAATTAAATTAAATCTTCAACTCACTCTATACACTAAATGATGGATTTCAACAAATAGAAATATATAATGTGTTTTATATGAGAACATTTAAGGAATACCTTTGGTTTCAGTAAAGAGAATAAAATGAATTCTTGAAGGAAACATCTCATTGAATTTTTAAAAATAAACTCATTATTATTTAAAGTTAACATGATGCATTTAATATGAATACATTTCAAATTCTAAAGAGAGAAAGAGAGAAAACAGAGTGACTTCTGAGTGAATATGTTTTAGGGCAGTAAGTCTGAAGAATGAATGGTTTTAAAGATCACACAGACAGATAAATGGCACCGTGGCCAGGAATACTATGAAAAATAAGAAGCAAGGAAGGAAGTTGGCTTACTACCCATTAAAACCTACCGTGAAACTGTTTAAGTTCTAATATTATCAGTAGACTAAAACAGAGTACAGAAAATGTATAGCAATTTACGTATGATAAAGTTCAATGGGGGAAAATGGTAGTTTGACCACAATTTGGAAGGAAAAATACTTCAAAACACTATTTTTTACCATAGTAAGAATAAATTTAAGAGAGATTAAAGCTTAAAATGAAAAATAATAATGAATTTTTAAAATTTGGGGGGAGGGGTTTTGAGACAGGGTCTCACTATGCAGGCTGGCCTTGAACTTACTACATAGCCCAGCCTGGCTTTGAACTTATGGCAATCCTACTGCCTCAGCCTTATCAAGTGCTGGGACTACAGCAGTGCACTACCATGCCTGGCTGAGAAATAATAATGTAAATAATTTTAAGATAATATTGGTGTAATACTAGAGCCATTATGAAACCTGTAAATACTAAAGGAAAAAAAACCCCAAAATAATTAGAAACTTAATAAGAAAAATAAAGCAATAACAAAGTTATACTTTCCCTTCTTCCTTTAATCAGTCATCTACAGTGAAGTTTTTTTTAGTGTTTTTTTATGTTTATTAGTACACATTTGCTGCGCATAATGATTACATTCATCATGGGGAGTTGGTGTGCAAACACATCTTATTTCTCTTTACTTCCCCTTTAAATAATGAAGTTTTAAAACTCACATCTGACACTTCTGTTAAAAATGTAAAATACTAACATGGCCATTAATTGGCAATTACGAAAATTAGCATGGCAAAATTTTCCTAACCCCTTCAAATGCCATATATTTCAAAACCTGAGAACTGCCTGCTCACCTCACTTTGCTGCTTTTTTAAAACCGGACTTCTTAAACTCCATGCTTTTCTCATACCATTTACTTTAAGTTTCCTTAACATACAAATACATACATGTTCTTTCTCTGTCTGAAATCAAATTTGCCCCTCAATTCAACTGCTATCACTCAGTCGCAAACACACACTGCCCCTTGCGCCCTGACACCACACACCAGAGAAATGTTTTGATGTCAAGACATTAGGTGTGTGCTATCATTTTGGCTGCAAAGTTATCCGTCCTCCTCCCAGGCTGCTGGAGGAGTGTCCTGTGTAATCGACAGGGGGCGTATTTCCCATCCTCCACTACAGAAGTCAGAAGATGCTGAGGATCCTCTCTTAGAACTCTGACAACCACTGTGCCAGAATATGACCTGGGTGTGCTAGTCCAGGATTTTAAATTCTGAGCAAATGATACCAAGATGAAAGTACCAATAAGCGTGGTCAGGCCATGATAATACCATCCTTATCACATTTTCCTGCCAAAAGACAATTGTGGCACCTGCTACTTCTTGGTCCTCTCAGACATCATTGGTTCCTACCTATTTTCAAACCTAGTCTTCCAGCCTTCTAGCAACTGTATAAATTCTGGTTATCTTTGCAATAGATTTGATACTTAAAGTAGCAGAATGAGTTTCTGTCATTTTCTATGGGAAGAATTCTAAATAATGCATCTATCTTGGTAGCCACCTCACTCTGGAAGCCTTCTAAACACAATCACCTTCCTCAGAATAACTTAGGTGCCACCTCTGAATGTCTCCTTGGCACTCTGAGTCACTCTTTTCCATACCATTTATCCGAATTTTGTTGTAAAGAATCTTACATAGTAAGTGTTCACTAAAACACTGCAAAAGAGATGAAGCTGTTACAAAACTAAACAATTCAAAATATATATTATATTTTGCCAAGCGTGGTAGCACATGTCTGTAACCTTAGCACTGGAGAGGCTGAGGCACGAGAATCGCTGTGACATTCACGGCCAGCCTGGGTAACGGAGTGAGCTTAAAGCCAACTTGAACGACAAAGCAAGATTGTGACTCAACAAACAAACAAAAAACAAAATAAAATATACATTATATTTTACTCATAGTTCTCAAACTATAAACCTCACTTCTCCGATTTTCTTAGATTGCAAATTTCATTGCACTTTATTCTACTTCCAATCAAGGTTATCAATATCTTCACTGCTTTGTTTCAAACTGGTCCATAATATTGCAATTAGATTCTTAGATTAGAATTGATTTTCCAGGAGAAAAATCTGACATCAAATGTGAACTGCAGGAAAAAGATATATCCATAAAAATATTAATCAGTTTGAACTGCTACATTCAACTTAATATTCATTTCATAATTTAACAGCTTTCTAGATGAACTTTTTTTGGTATTTTTTAAGTTTGGTGATATTGGTTCAGATTGATGAAGGAGTATCTAATCTAATTAGTAAATTACTTATATTCTCTAATTCTCTTTGTAGTGCCAAACATTTAAGTTTTTTGCTAGTACTTTAAGTGCTGTTTAAAGGAATAAATGGAATAGTATCTGAAAATTTTATCAGTCAATGAGAGAAAGGAAAGGCAATTAAAACTCAAATGAAGTGGTGCAGATGTAGCTCAGTGGTGGAGAGCTGGTCTTACATCCCTAGCACTGGAAAACAAAACTGTAATGATATTAAACTGGCCCATTTCCCTTATAAAAGCACATTAGAGGCAAAAGTAGAAAGAGCAAAGTTATTTGTATTACATTTACCCAAGTTATTATTACAGATTTTTTTTGTGTGTACCAGGGATTGAACTGTGCTTGTGAGGCAGGCAGCGGCACCCTTGAGCTAAAACTCCGGCCCCTTACCCAAGTTATTATTGTAACTATGTTTTCTTTTGTTTTTACAACATTTGTCATCTTATTGGAAGGTTTTTTTGAAATTACTTGACATGTATGTGATGATGATAAATAATCCTAATCGACGTTTTAGACGTAAAATCCACCAATTAAAAATGCCACCTTCAGTAGCCTATTAATAGATGTTGGTGAATGAATTCTTAAATAAAAATGTAGGTGAGTTTTACTTTATTTTGTGAGCTCAATCACTCAGAGTCAGAATCTGAATAAGATGTTAACATGAATAAATGATGTTCTTGTTCAGTACTTTTGTTTGGCAGGGCCATAACATTCTGTGACAACCCCCTTGAAAACTGCTAAAACAGCTGCTATTCTTTTATAGTTTCAATTTTAATTTTTTTACTTTTTGTATTCATTAAGTTTATTGCTACACTTTAGGTATACAATCTGATGACATTCATCATTGGGAATTTGTACCTTTATATGATATAGCATGCTTCTTATTTTTTCCCCATTCCCCTGCCCTCCCTTCAACCCTATAATTTTAAGTGTAACTGAATATAATTTTGAGTGTAACTGAATAATGTCTATATTTTTAATATTTCTTAAACTACTTTGAGATATTAAGTATTTCTATCTGCGTTAGCTTGTTTTCTGTGGCTAAAATAAGGTATCAAGTGTGCATACTTAAGAGTTTTGAGAAAAAAAAAAAAAAGAGTTTTGAGTTTTGGAGACTGAATGCCCAAGATCGTGGGGCCTCATCTATTTAGGGTCTGGTGATGCCCTGAGTACAGCACAGTATAGGAATGGCATCAGGGTGCGAGCACAACCAACAGGGAGAGATTGCCTGGAGGTCCAGGAAGCAAGAGGGACTCAGAGGCCAATCTTGCTTTTTGTAACAAACCATTCTCAGAGGAACTAACTGGTTCCCTTCTGATGGAAGCAGCGAGTGACCTAACCACCTGCCAGGAGGCCCCACCTCTCAAAGGTTCCAACACTTCTCAACCCGGCACTCTGAAGACCAGGATTCTAGCATGTGAACACAGCTCCACCCACATTCAAACCATAGTACTGTCATAGGACTGTTTGCAAAGAAAACAAATTCATCAAATCTACTTACTAAAGAAAAAATAAGCAGGGTATGGTGATACATGCCTGTAATGGCGGCACTCTGGCAGTCTGAGGCAGGAGGATGGCAAGCTTGAGCCCAGCCTGGATGGTTGAGCCCTGTCTCAAAATCAAAAATAAAAAGGGCTAAAGATGTAAATCAGTACAAAGGCCTGGATTCAAACCCCAGTAACACACACACACACACACACACACACACAGAAACACAAACACACATACATACACACACACACAAATAAATTAAGAGAATCTATATCATTTTGTTGATAATTATGAAAAAATTTTCCTGATTATTAATTTTTAGTTCCTATAAATATCCTGCATATATTCATTGTTATAAAAGAGTTTAATATCCTGATGTTTTTAAAATACAAACACTAATTTTTTTATACATCCTCCCTTCAAAAGATAGAGTCAAATTTCCTTGTCCTTTAGCATGGGTTGGATTCAGTGATACCAGAAGAAAAAAAAAAAAAAAGAATGTGGCAAGAGTGATGAGGTGTGACTGAGTTCTAAAAGACATTGTACTGCTTCCTTGCTCTCTCTGAGATCACTTTCTCTGGACAAAGGCAGCCTTCATGTTAGGAAGACTTTCAAATACTTCTATGAAGCTTTGTATGATAAGGAATGCCAACCTCCTAATACTTAGCAAAAAATGAAGGCATTCTTTACACAGTTGAGAGATATTTTGGAAGCAGACCTTCCAACTCAAATAAAACTCAGTCAAGTTTAAAATTACTCCAGCCCAAGTTAAAATCTTAAGGCCAACCTCACAAGAGACCTGAGCCAGAACTATGCAACTGACCCACTGTCATATTCTTAATTAATAGAAAGTGAGAGATAATCAATGCTGCTGTAAGCTGCTAAAATTGTTATGGGAGGAATTTGTTATTCTGCAGTGATCAATACAAATTATTCTACTGTTATTCTCATACAATGTATATTGGTCTCTTTTTAAGGAGGTCTTTTTTTCTTTTGTACGGGAGATTGAATTTGGGATGTTGCACCTGCAAGGCAGGTGGCAGCACCACTAAGCTAAATCCCTGGCCCTAAACAGATATCTTTTAATTCCTGTGTTATTGAGTTTCTCAAGCTAGTTTAAAGCTATAAACTCGGGACCATTTCAAGGTCATGATTTTGTAAATATTTTGAAGAAATATAGGATGACAAAAAGATGCAAACAGAATTAGTAATCCAGAAAAATCTTTATTGCTGCGTCTGTCCATTGATTACATGCCTAATGCAATTTTTTAAACATTTTAACTCTAAGCTTCATTCTAGATTGTTACCACTTGCTTCTGTAGCTTGTAGTAGCCTACTAAATACAGAAGGCTACTGCCCTTGCTCCGACAGAAGCCTAGTTGATTTGTCCAAATTATCAATAAGGTCATATCATTCCTCTATTCCCGTAAAACCTAAATGTAGTCCATCACTACCCATCTTGCCCTGTAAGATGGTGTTCCTCACCTCCTTTCAACTCTCATTTTCTCCCACTTTCACCATTGTTCACTGGCTACCCACTGATAGCTCATTATCAGGGTCATATGCTTAGTTCTGCCTGGAACATTTTCTCCCAGATATTGAAGCATAGCTCATACTCTCACTTCATTTAGAAATCTCCTCAGAGGTCACTTCTTCAGAGAGGACCTTTGTGTTCTAGAAAAGCTAACCTATAAAAGCTACCTCTATTACTATTCAATTTTTAGTATAATTGTGTCATCTGACACTGAGTTATATGTTTGCTTAATTATATGATACAATATATTTATCTGCTGTTTTTCTTTCTGAAGTAGAATGTTACTTCTAACAGGAAGGACTTTGTCTAGCTTATTCACCAATTAAGTCTGCTAATCTTGACAGTCAACTTGATTGGCTTGAAAAACACCTAAGAGCTTATAGTGAAGCACACTTCTGTGTGTCTGGGTGGATGGGGGGTTGAGCCTTGGAACTATATCTGTTCCCTGATCCCTTCCTTTTTGGTGTTCTTTCCCTGTCCTTTGCTTTCTGACCACCATGAAATGAGCAGCTTTGCTCTACCAGACCCTCTGCCATGTTTCTGCTTTAGAACCAGGCAACCATGGCCAAAACCCTCTGAAATCATGACCCAAAATAAACCTCTCCTCTAAGCTGTGTGTGTCAGATATGTGGGTCATGGTCACATCCACAAGGAAGCTAATATACCATTGTGTCCCATTGCTTAAAACAGTATCTGCCACATGATAGGTGCTTAATAAATATATATTTAATTAAAAGGGTGTCTGGATATATGTATATCATTTAATAATAATTAATTACTTGATAGATTCCTGACAATTTTTTTCTATTGTGGACAATTATTCCATAAACATGTGTACTATGGATGCCATGAACGTGTTTAGGAAACAAATTTTATATTTGTTTCCTAAGATTTAGGATTCAAAACTTATGATCACTTTTATGTTTTTATATGAATCATCAAATTGTTCATTATCAAAAAGTTTCATTACATTTTTATATCATTCCTTAAACATGAGCTGACTTCTTCCTATACGGCATAATGATGTGCTTCTTCCCTTTTATAGATTGTAGTTTTCATAGATAAGAGACGACTGTTATTAAATTTTATCTCTTTATAATTACTAAAGGGCATATTTATTTTTCATATGAATATTATCTATTTTATGCATTTGTTTTTAAAGTGCCTTGCCATACTTGTTGCTTACATTTCTATTGATTTGTCTTTATTCATTGGTAGACATTTTTCCAGGTTGTGATTCGCTTTTTAAATTTCACTATATTTTTTAAAACTTAGCAAAAAGAAATTTAAATTTTATAGTCAAATTAATTATAATCTTCCCCTGAGTCCTTACATGGCTTTAACTTTGCTTTTGCTGTCTTAGAAAGTTTTCCAATACTCTGCATAAAAACATTTACCTACTATATTCTCCCAGTGCTTTATTTTTTAATAAGGAAAAAATATACTATATTACAGGTGGAATTTGAGAGTAAGGATTCTTACTGCTTTATTTTTCTCTTCAACTCACTACCCAGGTGTTCTCGTTTTAATTCCTCCCTTCTCTAAGGGGTCATGAAATTGTGAGGTGTCGTTTTTCCATTAAAAGTACACACACACACACATACACACACACACACTTATTCTTTCTCTTTACCTTAAAAATAAAAGACCTGAGATAATCTCATCTTTGTGCTAATTATTCCCAAGGAATAGAGAAATATTTTTTTGTTGCCATGCCCAGTAACTCATTTGATGTTAGTAATCCAGTAATGTGGACTCTGCTGGAGTAACACTGGATACACTTACTAAGAAACTCAGCTCAAGCCACAACAAAACCTAGTTTAAGAATGTCAGTTCATTCAAAACGAAGCTATCACTTCCAGTAAAGGTTCACGTCTGGAAGATTAAGAACAGCACGTCAGAGTTCTCTTCTGAAAACCTTTGGAATTCTAAGCGCCCAGTGGGGAAGAAGAGGCACAGGAAGAATCCATGTAAGACCTGGTCCAATCTAGGGAGAGACACTACCCTAGGAGCCCATGGAGCTGATGGAAACAGGTAGTAGGGGACTATACAGAGGTCCTCCACGTTGTTCATCAGGGTGTCTTGATTTGAATGACATGTGGAATTTAAATTCCTTGACCGATTTAGATGTATCAGTACAAAATGCGACAGAAAACTGTTTATAGTTACTCTACGTCCTTGGAAAAGTAAAATGGTTAATTCCTAAGCCTCGGAGGGCAGTTTGTTTGGAAATGTGTGGGTTTGTTTCTCCCTTGACTGTCACTTGAACTTTTCTAATGCTTCCTCTGGTAGTCTGTAGTACCGCTGAGTTCACTCAATAGATTCTATACAAAACCCTAGAAGCGGGACACAAAGCTAAGTGGGACATTATTAACACACCGCAGCTTTAACCCCACTTGGGACCAGGGAAACATCAGTCAGGTGAGGAAAGACATATTTTTGGCAGATGTCAGCTGGTCAGCCCGACCAGTTCGTTACCTTCTCCCTGAAAGAAACATCTTGTTCGACCCTTCCCATCCAGTCCGTATCAGTTAATAAACCCCATATTCATTTTCTCACCTTCTCCTTAACAACAGTTTTAAGGGTTGGCTTTAGGTCACTTCCGTGTCTCCCTAGTAACCAAGCACGAAATGTGGCCGGAAGAGACCCTGATCACGTGATCCACTGACTTCCGGATTTTAATCGTGACTTCCGGTTGTCAGAATTCCCCAGACGCGGCTGCCCAGCGGGGAAAACTGTGCGGCCCTAGGTCGCCGTGGCCCTCGCGGCGGTGGGCTTGGGGTGGGCTCGCCTCATCCTGCCCCGGTTATGATGCATCCGCGGCGCCCAGACGGATTCGATGGCTTGGGCTACCGGGGTGGTGCCCGGGACGAGCAGGGCTTTGGCGTCGCTTTCCCTGCAAGGTCCTTCAGCTCCGGGTCGGACCTAGGCCACTGGGTGACGACTCCCCCGGACATCCCGGGCAGCCGCAACCTGCACTGGGGTGAGAAGAGCCCTGCCTACAGCGTGCCCTCCACCTCCACCCCGTACGAGGGCCCGGCCGAGGAACCCTTTCCCAGCGGCGGCGGCGGCGGCGGAGCCGTGCAGGGGCAGAGCAGTGGTGAGCGCGCGGTCTGGGCCCAAGGGGTGGTGGTCGAGTGTCAGCCGTGTCCCACGGCCTGCAGACTGCGGAAAGCGCGCAATGGTCCCGCCGTGGTTCTTTCTGGACCTATCGCGCGCCACACACTCTGCCCTCCGTTAGTCTTCTGTGCCTCCTCCCTCTTCCTCGCCAATTTGTTCTCTGGGATCATCTCCAAATGAGACATCTGCTTTAGCCATAGGGTTCATAGTAGGAATTTTTAGGGATTGTATGGTGTTACAGCTTATGGTCTGAGTCAAGAGAAGAGGAAATTGGATTATTTAATGTCACCCAATTCGCTTTGGCGTCTGTATTTTCTTGATTTAATGATTTTAATTGTAGCTTTGTGTTCTGAAAGAGAAGCTTTCAGCACTGGCAGATTTGGAATCTACCTGGCTCTACCACTTGTAAACTGAATGACTGACTTCCTGACCTCAGAGCCCTCGGTTTTCTTTTCTTTAAGACCTGTAGAATAACTGTTAGCATTTATTTTCAAGTGTTAAACTAAATGAACTGAGTAACACCTACTATGGGATACGTAGTAGGTTGATAAAATAGTCATTTCCTAACTTTATTCTTTTAAACCTGGGAGTTATATGTTTTATCCGATCCCCCATCTAGAAGTTTTCCTCCCTGTAATTTTCCCTTCTTCCACTGTTCTCACCCAAAACAAACACTAGTGCACTTTCAAGATAGGTCTTTGGAATCAAGACATAATTATTCTTTGCAGGATGTAGAGAGACCCATGTTTTAATTACAACATGGCATGATATAGTTATTTTTAGCATTTTTTATTTATAAAATGTAAATATGTGCCTCTTGCAATTCTCCTGAGATTAGAACAATAGTTACACAAGTACCATAAAATATATATCTCCATCCTAGATACCAGCGTTATATTCATTTTATCGAATTTTGACTTGGAAGCACAGTAATATTTGATTTACATTAACTAGGAAGAATTTTAAAAATTGCTAAACAAATGAGGATGTGAAGGAAAATCATTGACTTATCCAGAGTCAAATTGTTAGCTATTTGCATATGTGCTGCCCAAGCCAGCACTCTGTTATTTGACTCTTACCTAGTTTTCTTTCTATTATACTGATCTCAGAATACTAGAAAGCTTTTATTAGTCATATTAAATAATTCAAAATGCATATATAATTGCAACACATTTACCTTCTTTGGCAGTAAAGTTCATATTTTTATTTTTCCTAAGTTATGCTTTGATGATTAAAAAGAGAAGCTTTTTAAACAAAACCAAGGGTTTATTTTGCAGCTGTTGTCAAGCAGGTGAGTGTAACTTTCCAACAATGACAGCCACTTGAGAAACTTACACAGTCATCAGTAGTAAACCTCTTTAACACCTTCCAGAAAATGTCAGGATCATTTTCTCTTAATATACGGGGATGATCTGTACACACAAAAAAGGTAAAAGCTGAAAGGAAGAAAACACTTTAACATGGCAGAAGAAGCTCTCGCTCTCTCCCTCCCTCCCTCCAACTTCCAACGTGTACATGTTCAAGGGTGGGGATGGAGCTTTGGGGAAGACCCCAATACAGTACTTCAGTTGGGGTGAAGCAGTTTCCCTGAGAAACATGCCCATGTGAGCACTTTCTCACTGTAAGGGAATAGTTAAGGCGTAGAAAAGGGGGATGGGGAGATTGTCTCATGAAAATTGTATTATAGCTGATATTTAATGTGTAGTCCTCTGGGATTGTGATAGCTCACCATTATGTTTGAGTTCTTTAGTCAAGGAGAAAGAAGTTTCTTTTAACACCTGTATAGTAACGTTACCAACTGGAGCTGATACAGTTTTTACAAGTGTTAAATAACTGAACTTTTTCAGTAGCACTGCCGAAATACCTTAGCACCTAGGTACCCAGTCATCTGTCATAGAGACTGAGCAACTACTCTTAAGACTATTCTTAAGACTATTTAAAAACTTGGTCATGGGAAGAAGAGAGTTCCACTTACCCATTTAGGTGATGCTAAGTACTTTTTCAAATTAATCATTTTGAGGTATTTCTCTCACAGCTATTGGTTTAACAACTTGCTCTGTCATCAGTAACAGTGGATAATTAGTTTTACAGCATGAGAAGTCAAGATTGTGATGTAAATATCAGTCATGGGTAGCCATGGAAGAAATTTTTGATGACAGTCAGGTGTTGAAGACTGATAAGATTTCCTTGTAATCCCAGTGGTTTTGGAAGCTGAGGCAGGAAGACTGCAAGTTTGAGCCCATCTATGCAGTTTATCAACTTAGTAAGACCTTGTTTCAACTAAAAAAAGGGCTGAGGATGTAGCTTTTGTGAAGGCCTGGGTTCAGGCACTAGTACTGGTAGTCTGTACATTCTCTCTGCATACTTGTTTGACTTAGCCCATCCAGTGCTTAAAACTTTTTCAAATAGCTACCAGTGGCAATATTTAAAAATTGCGAGGTTTGTTTTTATACAAGAATATCATTTTTGAAAAAAAAGTCACAACTTATGAACTCTAGACCCACAGCTCTATAAGGTAACGATCAATCAGTTGGAGCTAAAGAGCAGTTGTCTTGTAACTGGCCACAAGTCCTCCCCGTACATCCACCCAGAGTACTTCACTAATTCAGATTAACCCGCTGGCTCCTATCAGAATTTGACTTTGAGGTTTAAATGAACAGCATAATAATATGAAAAGAATCTTTTTTGTTTTTATAAGAAATCTAAATAATGGTTATGAGTAATCTTATTCTTTTTATTTTAGAACAGTTGAATAGATTTGCTGGATTTGGTATTGGACTTGCAAGGTAATGTTTAAGTTTTTATTTAGAGTTTTTGTTTAATTTATAATTAAATGATTAGTATTTCAGTTTTCCTTTGGAGTAGCAGATTAAATATTGAATAATATTTTGCAGAAAAAATTATCATAATTTAAAATCTGTAACTTGGTTTAGCTTCCAGTAATGGTAGACACCAGTAATTCAGTTTCATAAACAAATAATTGTGTAATGAATATTATAACAACTTTCATGAATCTATTGAAAGAATATAATCATATCTCCCTGTCAAGCAAAAAAGAGTAATTGTGCCTTGAGCTTTCTCTCTAAACATAGGGTGCCACTTAGATATTTAGCAGCGTGAAGTTTAGACTTCGTGTATAATCAGCATTCAGTGACCAGCTTTATATTTTTTTATTCCTAATGATCATTTTATTTAAGAAAAGTCATCAGTCTTAATTACTGTGATTTTTAGTGAATATAGTTTCATGTGGACTTGCACAAGGCTTACATTTTGTGCTGGAATGACTTTCATTTTGAACTGAGAAAAAGATTTATTTGCATAAACCTGAGGATGTCAATGTCAATATAAATAAAGAGCTTTTTATTTTGCAAGTTAATCTTTTTAGCCTCACTTTTTATACTGAATTCTCTTAATTTCATGATATTTATCTATATTTAAGTATATATGTTCACGTGTGTGTATTTCACTATTAGAGCTTAAACCCACAGCTATACTTTGTAGGTAATATTTTTTAAAAAAAATATTTGATATATGAGACGGGTAATTAACACAATCATTCAGAATCCTATAACTTAAATGGTAAGTATATCAAAATCAAATTTTTTACAAGGAGGTTCCTAGAAGTAGATAGCTTTGCTGATAGGAACTTTGTTCATCGGACATTTTTGGAAAGAAATGGAAATTAAATGATGTAGCAATTCCCATGTCAAACATACAGAAATGTTTTCTCATCTTTTTACTATAGTTATTAATATTACGTATTGTTTCCCATATTTACCGGTTTACAGATCTGGTTTTCATTCTTTTATATTGAGTTTTTGTTATTGGTGAACCATGAGAAAAATGTCTAGATATTTTAAAAAATCGTTTTAAGAATTGTAAACATAAAAAATGCATGATTCTTCAGGCAATAATATTAGAATTATTTAAATAATAAGGTGGAAATATATATAAATAAATTTTGTGTATAGACACGTATATACATGTTATTTTATATAGTCTCTTCACAGAAAATGTACTGGCCCATCCTTGCATTGTTCTACGCCGCCAATGTCAGGTAAATAAAATTCTCTTGACAGTCCTGATCCTGATGTGCAAAATTCAAGTAAATAACATGAAAACATGTAACCATTTCTCCATGTGAAATGTACCAAAATCTTTAATATATCATTTTCAAACTTTTTGAAATGGAAACCTCATTAATGTCTTAGCAATTATTGAGAATCCCAATGACCTTTGCATTATGTGGGTCATATTTGTTGATATTTGCCACATCAAAAGTTAAAACTGGGGAAATTTTAATGTGTTAATTTAATTTATCAAAATAAACACTTTAGATGCTAACAATGGCCGATTTATGAAAATAACATTTTATGGTTTGCAGATTTTTTAGCCATCATCTCTGCTCCTGCAGTCAATCTATTGAAAGATGTTGTGTTTTAAAAGAAACAAGTTCAGCTTTGTCCATATATGTAGTTGAAGCCTAGAGTATATATCCTTTTCAGATAACTGGGAATTTTTTGAAATTACACCAAAACTCACTAAAGGTTATTTGCAATGTGAAACCTAAAACCACATGAATATTTTATACTTTACCTTAAAAAAGACATTGATTTAAATGTCTTGAATGGTTATTTTTACCATGCATTGGTTAAGAGTATTGATTTGCCAAGACATATAAATCTTCCAGATGTTAAAAGTATTTGATTATACAGTATCAAAAATATCATCTTCACTGAAAGTACAACTGATTTCACCAGAAAAGTCTGAATTATTATATGCTTTTGATGATAGATACAAATTTCCAAAAATTATGTTACTTGAAAAATCCAAATTTATTAACAAAAAATACTGAAACTTATGTGTTTTTCAATCAGCAAGCTAACTTTGTTCGTTTGCCAGAACATGTCTCTCTGAAATATGAATAACTATAGTCTGCCAGTGAGTTTTTTAAGCAAAAATGGTATTCCATGAAAAAAGTGCCTATGTCACCTTGCAATTCCAACTTGGAAGAGCTTTCCCTCATGACAGCATCTTATTTCCTAGTATTAGTTCCTAGCACACAAGATATTGAAAGAAGATATGCACTCAGGGTCAAGATTTCATAAAATAAGCATTTTTTTATGCTTCATCAAGGATATTCTTAAATGATTACTTTTGCTCCGTGTGAATATGCGGGGTGAAGGACACAATAAATAAAAAATGTATATAATTTGATGCAACTGCTTTAGTTGTGAGCTAACAGTTTTACATCACCTCTGCTTTTGCACCATTAGTCAAAATATCAACACAGAGAGATACCTTAGCATCAGTAAGAATAAATATAATTTTGAACTTCTTAATCTTCTAATAGAGTAAAGGTCCTGGAGAACCAGTGACCCACAATGTGGCAAATACTGCTATCATGTAATTTGCCTTTTTCCAAAATAATTTATCCCATATGTGTTTGCTATTAGAGTTCAAAACAATATAAATCTTTTCCATTTTTTTATAGCACTGAAAAATAAGCGTATAAAGACAAAAGAGCATACCATTGGCAGTATATATCCCCCTGAACAGTATATTACAAACATACATATTTTACATAGTGATAATAGTACATTGTGATCCAGTGTGTATTGTTTTGACTCTTTTAACTGATTTCATAATTTACTCATTGATTGCAACACATACAGGACTTTGAAAAATGGCTGCCTAAAGGGAGCATGAGTAGAGAGATATAATAGCAGTGTTTTAGAAGATACAAATATCAAATAACAAGACCTTTCTTATTATGTTATCTACATGACTCTGTATATTATGCATTCATCTTCATGTTATATTTATCTAATAATGTATGTTATATTTTGAAAGACTTAAAGCACTCAAAATTAATTTTGCTTATGTATAACTTAAGTTGAGTTTAGAATTTAACTTTTTTATGCCACAACATTTTTCATGGCTTCATTATTTCTTGACAAAGCAACAGAAAAAAATACGTAATATCTTTTTTGCAGGTTAATTACCATGCTCGGCATTATCATCTCACTCCATTTACAGTCATCAACATTATGTATAGCTTCAACAAAACTCAGGTGAGAATTAGTCTGTGGATCTATTAAAGCTATATATAATTGTCGTTTGGGCTTGGTAATCATTAAAGTAAGAATAATTTCTTCAATTTGGTTAGCAAAAATATCTTAACTTATAGTAAACCTAATGTCTCGTGATAGCTTTTGGAATCCCAAAATTTCACTTAATTAACTCAACAGAAATATACAGTTATGTAAGCTCCAAGAGCTTAGCAGCAGGTATGAGTATATCTCTTATTAAGAGGCTTATAATTTAGTCTTGGAGACAAAAACTTAAACGGAAGATTGTGGTACAGGAAGATGCAATATTGGAAGTATAAAATGCTGTCAGAATGTAGAAGAGCAGTATCTTATCAAAACTGGAATTGAGCACAAGATATATCTGGGGAAAAATTTGCGAAAAGGGACACTGAGCTGTATATTTATTGTTAAGAAGTTTATATAATTGTACTCCTTTTGGCAGCATATACACTAAAATTTGAAGAAGTTTACATGATGCCGAGGCTGGAGAAAAGGTTTTATAAATAGATATGCAAAGATAGAAGAGAAGAAGTTAAAATGTTTGAGAATGGACTTAGTGCATTATAATAGGAACTTGGAGCAGAGGTTAAGGATGAAAACTAGAGAAGTAGGCAGGATACAGATGATAACCTTCTAAGAGCTGCACACTTAATCTTAACTGCTAAAAGATTATCACTGAAGTATTTTAGCAATGAGCAAAGTATTTCAAACAAACTTGGGTTGTTTGCCAATGTCCATCAAAATTTAAAATGTGCATGTTCTTTGACTTACTTATTTCACTCCTGTGATTTTTTCCACATTAATGTGTACATAAATGTGCAATAATGTGACAGGAGGATGTTGTGGCGTTGCACATAATAAAATTGGAAATTATTAAATGTTCATCCATAGAGTACCATTAAAATAATATGGCATATTTCTTTGGCAAAGCACCATGTACTTTTAAAAATAAGGTAGCTCTGTATGTACTGCTCTGAAATGATCCCTTGTCTTTTTTTAAATTGCTATAGTTTCATCAGTTAAAAGTGAACAAAATAAAAGCATTTCTATATCTGTACATACACCCAGAGATATACTTATGTATGTATAGACCATTATTAGAGGATAAATAAGAAACTTCTGCCAGGAAATTGGGATATAACTTTGTTTCTGATACTCTGTTGCTTATTTTGACTGTGTCTGTATGTTGTTAATAATATATAGGTAAATAGACTAGGAATCTCACTAATGGTATTGTGAAAGGGGGCAAGACAGCTGAAGAAAAGAACATGGATTTGTAAGACAGAACAGAACTTATGGGACTTGGTGACTGATTAGTTGGGAATAGTGAGAAAAATGTTATCCAGATATACAGTTTAGACATAGGATGGTGAAGATGACATCTAGGGAAATAGGAAATACAGCAAGAGAAGGAAAGAATTGGTATGGTGTGAATAGATATTTTTGAGTTATGCTGTGGATGTATAAATTTTGATATACCTCTGGGTCATCCACAGGGCAGGACTACTAAGGATTTGAATATATAGATATGAGATATTTAATAAATTAATCATTAGGGTGTTCAATTAATCAGTGTTCATCCTGGCCTAAATATTGGCCACCTAACAAATACTAAAATAATGATGCAAATTCATTTAATTATAGTTGTCTAAAAGACTTCTGTTAGACAAATGCATATTTAGAAAGTATCAGCAAATATTCTATATCAAGTTTTATTAAGATCTTCTTTGCATTTAATATATAGGCATTTGCAGAAATAACAGTAAATTTTGTTCATTTTAGGGACCAAGAGCCCTGTGGAAAGGAATGGGAAGTACATTCATTGTCCAAGGAGTCACACTTGGAGCTGAAGGCATAATTAGTGAATTCACACCTTTGCCAAGGTACCTTTTTTGGCATTTTCTCAGCATTAGTTTATAATATATAGGAAAATATCTAAAAGTTCCTTAAATCTGAAACTTATTTGTAATAGCTAAGACAGAATTATGTCATTTACTATATCTTGTTGAATTAGTATGTGATAAAGAAATTGCTTCTCACATTCTAGTATCTGTTGAGTTACAGCTTTTTAGCTCCTGCTGTTTGCCAGCAGTTGCCGACTGAGGAACAAATATGACTATTGAACAATTCCTGTTCTTTGTGTAGCAAATTTGGTTCAGAGGCTAAGCCATACCATACCTGGATTTATCGGTAAGGAGTTCAAAAAATAACTGAAATTTATCTAGATCTTGAATTATGAATAAGAGTTGACTTGGCAGAAAAAGAGATCATTCCAATAAGGGGTGACAAGATGCCCAGTGTTAGGGAACTTGGACAGTTTAGCTAATAGAAAGAAGTGACTTAGTCCTGACATATTGCATATGTATTGGGTGGAGTATTAGGAAGAGGAGCTGAAATCCTAAAGTATGATTATGTTTTTATAATGTTTTATTCTCTGTAGGGTTGGGAATCTAAGACTTTTTTTTTTAGTATACGGATGTTTTGATCAAGGTTATACTCAAGTGGTAGAATAAAAAACAAAAGATGACGGGGTGCTCACGGACTTTGTGGAGACTGGGCCAAAATGAGGAGGTTCTGAGCTATAGAACAAAACAGACAGGGTTGAGATAAATGGACATTTTTGAAGTATAATTGATGGTAACTGATGTTAGATTGAGAATGAGGGTACAGAAGAGAGAGTTGTCAGCAGTGATTGAGATTTATGTATTAAAAATTGTCAACCAAGTTAGGGAATTCATGAAGAAGAATACGGTGGAGTGGAGAAAATGAGTTTAACTTTTTTTTCTTTTCAGTACTGGGGATCAAACTCAGGACCTTGTGTTTGCGAGGCAGGCATGGCACCGCTGAGCCAAATCCCCAGCCCAAGTTTAACTTTCAATAAATGAAATTTGAGATTCTTGCAAGATATCTAAGGATCATCATGTCTGGATGATAATGTCGAGATAGTTGGAACTGTGGATCGGAGACTTGTGGAAACTTGAGCTGGAGTATTGTGGAGGAAAAATAGCATTTAAAACAGTAGAATGGGAAAAATTCACCTAAGGAGAAATTACACAATAAAAGACATAAAGTACCCCAAAGACAAAATCCTGAGCAACTGTATATAGATATATTTGTGCCATGTCAAGTATACAGTAGGGTGTGGTCTGGAGAGGTAATTCAGGGGGGTGTAATTAGTGATGTCTTCAAAACAAATTAAGAACAGTAGTAAGATACAGGATATAGTATACTAGAAGCCAAAGGTTGTAGATACATTTAGAGGAAGAGAAACTGGGAAAAGTTGCTGAGTTGTCTTTTTTCTGTAAAACTCTTTCCAAGGTTACTTGATAATAGAAAGATAAGTGTTGAAGTCATAGTAGAAAAGCATGAGAAGCATGAGATTCATTCAGACAGTCAACAATGAATAACAAGGGAATCTTACAACAATATAGGAAAGGAATGTTAATAGATAATGTCAGAAACCATAAATTTGTTAGGTGCTATTTGGCATGATTCTATGATTTTTGGTATCAATCCAGAAATAACATTGAGGGCTTTGAGTGGTTCATAAATCCAAAGTTAGCCCCAAGGGTAAATTTTGTGGATTGTCCAGGAAGTGAAACAGTTGAAGGAATAACCATTAGTACATCACGTGTCCTCATGCTTGGGATTTAATTTTTTTAAGGAGAGAAGGCAAGAAACTGATACCAAGCTTTTTTCCCAATGTGATTGCTTTTTGAAGAACCTCTATCTTCAAGTTCCTCTTACAATTTTAAACAGAAGAAGCAACACAAAGATTAGAAATATTTGGCCAGCTAATGGTTTCATCATTTAGCTCAAAAACTAATTTTGTGGGTTTGACTTTTTTTGGTTGTGGGGTGTTGTTTTGTTTTGTTTTGGTGCTGAGGGCCTCAGGTTTGTGCTCTACCGTTGAGCTAAATCCCCAACCCCAAAAAGCTGGAATTCTGTGTTGGCTAATCTTATTCCTACTGTTGCTTTTTATATCACAAGTAAGTTTGGAAATAAGTACTTGAAGTCAAATATTCTTCAGGGCATCCCACAAACACAGACTAATATACAATTTTAACAAAATACAGGAAATTCAATTTGGTAGAGTGGAAAAAACTTCATCTTAAAGTCAGTACATTACCGGTTCAAGTCCTGGCTATCCCAGGGACATAGGGCAAGTAATGGATGGACTCTCTAAAGTAGAGCTGAAAGCATAACATTAAGTTCAGGTTAAAGAGAAGGAAAAAGAAATAGAAATGGAAGACACAGAATTTTATAAAATTTTATCATGTTAATTTCTTGCCCAACGGAGAAGCAGACCTTTCAATTGTGTGGGAATGTATTTTATTTTTATTTCAAATTTTACCTAATGAATACACAAAAAGTTATCTTCAATGTATACTCGTATGCTTTTGGTGATAAATCCCACTCATTGATTCACTCATTTACTTACCTAGGTGCCTATTTTGTCAGTGCCTACTACCAGTATGTGCCAGTTTGCAAGCTTGAAATCAGGTTTATAATGAGAAAGAAACAAAAAGTACCTGTTACTGAACTCAAAATCCAATAGAAGGATACATATATTAGGAAAATAATCACACCAATGGATAAACAATTACAAATTGAAATTTGTTCTCTGATTGGAAAGAATATGGTCCTGTGAGAATCATGGTGGTAGGAATAGGGTTCCCAGTAACATTACTCTTAATCTGAGAGTGCACAGGAGGTGCTTACCTGTTTATATAAATATGCTGTGGAGTATGGAGGATTGAGAATTCAAGTAATGGAGATAGGGCTCATGTGGTTGGAGGCCAGAGAACAAGGTAGAATGGGGTATAAGAAATAAGTGAGAGCCACACTGTGCATGGTTTTGTAGGTCACTTTAAGGATGCAAAAGAGTTTATGTACAGTCAGTAGCATCAGATTTGTGTTTTCAGAGGGTCATTTTAGGAAACATGAGATTAAAGGAAGACCAAAATGGATAAAAGAAGACATCCTAGTAAGTTATAAAAATAATCACGGTGAGAAATAATAATATCAAGGACCAGGATAGTATCTTTTGAGTTGAGGAATGGACAGTTTTTAAAAATACTTAAGTAAAATTGATAGAACTTGGTGATCAAAGAAGAATAGTAGATGAAAAAAAGGGTGGTATTAAAGATGGCTTCTAGGAATTCAGGCTTTTGTAATCAAAGCCATTATCTGAATAATCTAATCAAAGCCATTATCTGATAATAACCATTATCCATTTTTTTTTTAACAATTTTTTTTTTTTAGACAAGGTTGACCTTTCTTGGGGGAAAGTATAGCCATGGCAAAACAAAACAAACCAAAGCATTAACTCAAAGCAATTAGTAGAAGTTACCAGTTTCTTCTAGACTGCATGTGATTATTAGATAGAATAGGTGTAACAGTGTGAGTTAACCAGTATTTATTATTATACTGATTATGGTCACCTCAGAGAAAAACAACTGGTCTCTAGTGCTTATGAACTCAGCAATCTTATATAGTAATTTCTCAGTAGCATTCCTTTTTAAGACAATGTATATGAGCCACAATCATCATCTGCTATCTCTTTCTTTCCTGCCAGAACCTCCCACCCCTTCCCTAGCCTTTGCCCAGTTGAAGTGAGTTAGACCATCTGTTAATCTACCCCAAAGATCTGTCCCTTTATTAGCGTATGACTTTTCTCATGTCATTAACATGAAGTCGGAGTTCCTGTAACCAAGGTTGCCTGTACACAGTCTCTCACAAAACTCAAGTTGAACTTAGTTTTAAATCATCTCATGTTTGTGGTTGCACAGTATAAACATCTTACTTTTTTTCTCCAAATGAGTCCTCTGAATTCACTTACTTTAAAATAATCAATTGTTTCAAACACAATGAAATAGTCCTTGAATTCCTTAAATTTAGTCCACTCCTTTCTGATTAATAGGTCCTAAATAGAGAACACTAGAAGAAATATTTGAAATTTGATTTTTCTCCAGTTCAGTTTATTTTCAGATCCCTTTTCATATCCAGGTGGAATTGTCAGTAAGCAAATGGTATGAGGCTTTTATATAGAGAACTCTTAATTGAAGGTAAATTTGAGAAATTTTCAAGCTGTACTCTTGAAAGTGCCTGGTATACCAAATGGAGTGAGCAAAGAAGAGTGCCCAAGCCTTTAGGAACTCCAAGAATAGGTGTGTGGTTAGGAAAGATGATCATGCAAAGAATTCCAAAAGTGAGACCAAGAAGGAGGCTAAAAGCCAGAACAGTATGGGCTTGTGGAATACAGGGTCAAACACTGCTTCAAGAACCACAGAGGAATGAGAGTGCCTAACCTGATGGCTGTTGCAGTTCAAATTAGGTGCATGCTGAAATATGCCTTTTGGACTCGATGAGATGGAGGTTCTTGGGGAATGTGGCAAGAGCTATTTTGTAGGATAATGGAGTAAAAGCCAATTTAGACTGGATTTTGAGGTGAATGGGAAGTTGAAACATGGAAGCAGTAAGTTTAGAAAGTTGGCTATGAAGAAAGTAGATGAAGGGAGGTAATAGCAAGATGATAGATTTGGGTTGGGTTAAGGGAAGATGTTTTTGTTTGTTCTTTTGTTCAAGAGGACAGATATTTGACCGTGTGAAAATTAAAGTCTGCTTAGATATAGAATTATTTTAGATTGTATTGCTTGTGTGTATTGACTACATAGGAATATTTGTTTAATCTGTCAAATGAAAAATTAGACTGTTTTGAGAAAAGTATTCTAATCAATTTTTTAAATTTTGGTATTCATTTGCCACGGTAGCTTTTGCTTGAAATTAGCAAATCAAAATATATTTACACATGTTTGGTATTTGATAATGAAATATATAAAAACTGTGTCACATTTTTGCTTATCTTCTTTCCTGAATCATTTAAACATGAGAAATTAAATTTCTAGACCCTAGGCAGTAAAGTACGTATTTTATAAAGTAGTAGAGAACAGCTATAAGGAAAGGTCTCTTTCTCTTTTTTTTTTTTTTTAAGTACTTGGCTCTAAATTTCCTCTTTTCTTTTTAACCTTAATCATTTTAAGAGTTGGCAGTGAGAATTAGCATTATATTTAAAAGGGAGGTAGCCTGTCCTTACAGAGACACAAGTCACAGACCCATTTGCCTATAGAACTAACGACAATTTCATGCCTTAAGTCAGTGTTACAAGAAATGACCTGTGGTAATACTCTCTGAGGTTATGATAAGAGTAATGGCAGTACCAAGATGATGTACAGAACAGGTAGCATATTTTGTCTTATAGTCATAAAGTAATTGTCAGATAGATGAAAGTCATAATCTTTTTTTTTTTTAATTTGCAACTTAATCACTGAATATCATTTCAGCTGTATTGTCTATGCTGTTTGACTCTGGTTTCTCTAAGGGCTTAGAAATCGGGGGTGGTAGTTCTGTTGTCTAAAAGTTTCTATATATTTCCATTTCTTGGAAAAATATAGGGAAACTTGCATTCCACCCAGGTTCTGAGCTTTGTATTTAGCCCTTCTCTTGCTGGCGATTTTAATTTTCTTCTCCTTTTAATTATGAAATATATTTTTTCCTTTGTTTCCTTATGGTCTTCCTATCACTCATTTCAAATAGCAGGCATATGTTTGAGATTTCTGTTGTTCCCATAGTGGAATTGTGCCAGTTTCATTAGGGGATCTTACCTCAGAAGTCTTATCTTTGTTTTGTACTTTGCCTTCTCTGTTACTCTGCGCATGCACACACACACACTTGCTTTTTTCTTCCCTAGCTCCTCTTTTTCATTTATTTTCCTTTTATCCTTCTCATTTATTCTCCATTTTCTTTATTTGACTTTTCTATTGATATGTTTCTCCTTTTGTTCTATTTCAGTTTGCCTTTCCTTCTCTCTTATCTCCTTCCTTTCTTCCCTCTTTCTCTTCTTCTTCTATCCCTCCCTCCTTTCCTCCTCCTTTCCTCCTTATTTCTTTTCTCCACCCACCTCCCAGTTAACCAAAATAGAAGCAAAAACAAAGACACAGTCCTGGAGCTCAGAGCTCAAAAAACAAATGATAGAATGTAATAGTGGTCACAAAGTGAATATCATTGTAATAAATGAGGTCACTGGAAACTGGGTACTATACAAAAAATACAATGTGTCATTCTGCATTACAGTTACTTAATTTTGTTTCACTATTAAATTCTCATGCCTAGTAGTTTGTAAAGCCTTTTTCCTTCTTTTTTCTGTTCTATATTTCCTTCTCCTATCTTTTATTATGTAATTTTTACATTTCTTCCTTTAATTTCTCATGTTTTTAGTCTAGACCTTTTCGTGTCAGCCCCTTCTGTCAGCATATAAAAAGAACCTTGTGTGCTTTTCTGTTTGTGAACTATGACAGTTGTTTGAAGTGAATTTCCTAAAAGAAAATCTGCAATCATTAGAATACATTTCTTCTACAGATTAAAACAAGTTAGAATTGATTACCCTTTTGAAAATTATGTTAAGATGTTTTAAATAACGTGACTTTTGTTCAATTTTAGTTTACTTTTACATTTTAGGGAGGTTTCGCACAAATGGAATCCTAAACAAATAGGTGAACACCTTCTACTGAAAGCGTAAGTATCAAAAATGGCATTTCAATTGGAAATTTTCATTAATTTTATAGCTTTAGAACTTTAAAAATCTTACTAATAAATACAGTGAAGGAAATTAGAGTAATGAAATATTTATGGGAATAAATCTTCAAAGGGCAGCTAACATAGAGTTTAGGAATAAAATCCTGAAATACATGTGATCCTTAAAATAATTCTTACTAATATGAAAATCTGGAATCAGCCTACATTTTGTTGTATTCATAGGAAGTTAGCAAAGGTCTTCAATTTGTTTAGCCCAAATTTCTGAGAGAATTATTTTTATCACTGGTTGAGCATCCCAAAGCCAAAATGCTTCAAAATATAAAATTTTGTGATGAATTTTCCACACCTCTCCAAATGTGATAGTTCATAGTCAAAATACAGCCATTCTAAAAATATCATAAATTTGCCTTCAGTCTATGTGCATAAGGTATATATGATGCATAAATGAATATTTAGACATGGCTTTCATCCCAAGGAGGTACATGCAAATATTCCAAAATCAAAAAAAGAAAAAAATCCCAAACCAGAAATACTTCTGACCCTAAGCATTTCTAATAAGGGATACTTAATCTCTATTGTATTACTAAACAGATCTGTACATCTGCTTGTATAGTGATGAGTAGAGTTAAAACTTTTGGTGACATTGAAATGTAGTCCTAAAGACACTTGGTGATTTTACAACAGTAATCATTTGTATAGATTAGAATTTTACTCTTCACTTTTTAGTTTTTTTTGAAGATTGTGAATTGGAAATCCCCCAGCTTGCTGGCTCCCTCTATGGGGCATTCTAGCACATTATTACTTAGTGATGTTCCATTCACCTTGAAAACCACTACTTACCAGGACCTGGCCCATAAGGGTTAGGTAAGTCCCACTTTGATATGATTTTAAATAACTATATTTTGCAGGCTTGCAAAGTTGTAATTTACTATGTCTAAATATTTGATGATAGGAAACAACTTTGCAAAGCTGTACAATATTGTTTTTTAACAGTAAAAGGGGACTTCACCCACTGTTGAAGGCTGACCTAGCTCTACTGATGGGAAATCTGGGGATAGATAATAGGATAATGGCAGAAAAGTAAACTTGTTCAAATATCATAAAAAGGCAAGCTGTGGAATGGATCCCTCCTCCTAAATTGTAAGTGTCAGATTTATAGGCTGTGTTAGCTACAGGTTGATGTCTAAACAGTGAACTATAAATGAGCCTACATTTTATTGTCTTAAGATAAAATCTGTTTTTGTATGAAGGCTGTCCCTGTGGTCATCTTTGTTGAATAAAGCATGTTAGAGGTTTTTGAAGTTTATATGGTAGAGCTAAAAGTATTGATAGTTGAACATCTTAGAAAGGTCATTGTAGCTTGAATATAAATTGTGTTGATATAGTAAAGTAGATATTTAAAAATCTCATATGAACATTTTGTTTCATTATGCTGATAAATCTGTTTTAATTTCTACAGCCTAACTTATATTGTGGCCATGCCTTTTTATTCGGCAAGTCTAATTGAAACAGTACAGGTGAGCTATTCCTGTGTTGTCGTTTTTTTAGTTAAATATTTTTGGAATACTCAGTATATTGTATATGTATGACTATTTAGCAGAACAATTTAAAACAGCATTCTTTAAAAATATGTATTTCACAAATACCATACATATTTCACACATTGATGGTGTGTATATTTCCATTGCAAACTTAGGTCACACTTAGAGTTTCAATCCTTTTTAATCTCTTCCCCATAAACAGCTGTATTCTTCATTAAGATGTCTCACAGCCCAACTTGTAACTTGCTGAGAATACAAAGAATATATAAACTTTTTAAAGCCCTATGTGCAGATGGTTATAGCCTATACTGCAATATATTAATTATCTGAGCATAAGCTAATCATCCTAGTAGTGCGAATGTGGTACTCATAAGTAGTTTACTGACAGCATTTTTAAACTATAATTTAAAAGAAATATTTGATACCCTTGCTGTGATAACTACTAGAAAGCTTAAGCAGTTTCCTGCTAACTTTAAATTCTGTCTGCTTATTTTAACTGTAGTTTTGTTTTGTTTTAACTATTTTTAACCACAGGGTGGTGCTTTAAGTATATTGAATTAAATTCATACAGCATCTCACCATATCCTTCCTACACTTAAAACTAAGATGAAGATGGTTGTATGCACAGAGTCTACCTATATGTACACCTGTTTTCTATTTCCAACATCGGATCCTCTAGTATTTTTTTCTTTAGTATATATAATGCCTTCTTTCAAAAAACCTCTACTAAATCAGTCTTTCTAATTATTATTTTCCTCTTCATTTCTTTTCTGACCCCATTGTTAATCTTTTATTATTTTTTTTTGTTAGAACTGGTTTCAGTTAACTGAAGATAACATCCTGAAGTTAACTAAAGATAACATATTTTCCTTTCTCCTTGCATTTTGTATTCTGTTAAAAGGGAAAAGAAATGATTCCTTTGTGTACTAATAAAGAATTTGCAGTTGTCACTCAGTAAGAGATCTTCATTTTAAAAATAATGAAAAATAGCAGGAAACTATTTAAAGAAAACTAAGTAGCATGACTATTGGGGAAAAAAGTTTTGTCTTAGAAGAGACTCCAGTCAGATTCACATTTCTCTAGAATTATATCTATTACTTTTGATAACTTTTTAACCTTTTAAAATCTTAATTTCTTACCCATAAAATGGTAACATTATTTTAATAACTGAATTTTGAAGATTAAATATTGAATTATTTATGTAAGTTTCCAAATCAGTATATGACAGTTTTTCAGTGTTTTTAACGAGTATCACTCCTTGTGTTTCCTGCTCCATATCCTACTATTAATGCTCACCTTGCGACTCCTTTTGTCTGCTATTCTAAAATTCTTTTATTTTTTCCCAAATTTCTGCTCTCTTCAAATCATCTTTCAGTGACCTTTTTTTTTCCTACTGTCTCTTTTTTGGAATTTTAAGACTTGGTGTTTGGCCCTCTCTCTTTTTTTCATCTTATAATGATTATTCTGAGAGAGCTCATTTCACATGTGAATCATTTCAACTCTAATCTTCATTCATCTCAAAATCAACTTAGTCTCATCAACCTGAAAATTTAGTTTCCATTTAAATATCATTTTCCTCTCTGTTAATGGTACTTTGATGAAGGGGCTTCTGGGTCACTATCCAGGCCACCGCTCCTGGCCCAGAGGAAGGGGCTTCCCAGCCACCATCCGTCCCACCTCTCCAAGCCCAGAGGAAAGGGCTTTTGGGCCGCCTTCTGTCCCACTGCTCCCAACCCAGAGGAAGGGGCTTCTGGGTCACCATCCAACCGGCTGCTCTCGGCCCAGAGGAAGGGGCTTTTAGGCCACCTTCTGTCCCACCGCTCCCGGCCCCTGTCCCACTTCTCCCAGCTCAGAGGAGGCGAACTGCGGGGGTGCCAACAGCATCCTCCCCGCCACGATTGAAATGAGAAGACACATAAATAAGTCTCAAAACCAGACTTCCAGATCACCTACAGCAACCCCAAAGGGAAATGAGATGGAACACTCTGATACT